TATCTTGGTCCATTTGTAGCTTTAACAATGACTACAAGAAAAAAATTAAAAAACATATTGAAAAATTGAAAGTAAAAAACAAATATATCCACATCAATGGAGGGTTTCATTTTATATCTTTCCCCCAAGAAGACAATAGTTGAAAGAAAACTTAGTCTATGCAAAAATACCATTTCCCTGCTTTATTGTTGTTATTAATAGACTAACAAGCATTTCAAAAGTTGAAATCTAATTCACTTACATTTTTCTTCAGTTAATTGCTTAAGTACTTCACCCACAATCTAAGGAAGAAAAAAAAGTATTACTTTTTGTCAACAGCTAAAACAACAGAGCAAATTACCATCACCCCCTACATCCCAAACTCCATTACCTACCTGCCCAACACTTTGTAGGGCCTTCAGATCATTTTCAGACTTTTCATATTGCTTGGTAAGTTCTTTTAATTGTTCCCTTACTGGAATAACATAATTTGAACATTTTTAGTTAAAGAATAATCTTAGTGCATCTAATTGGCTAAGTCTCATTTAAGTTTAGTTAAGTCTATTTCACTTTACCTAAGTTTCACAACCACTATATTAAACCACAAAAGAAATAATGCCGTTTGTAATGAGCAGGTGACATGTTTAAAAACAAAATGTTACAGAGAAAGAACCATGTTTTTATTTTCTTGATATGCAATACTTACTTGTTTAGGCATTTTTAAGCTACATTCTTAAAAGATATTGACACCCTGACACTTCCGAATTTGCGACTACAAATCATAACGAAAATCAATGAGTTAGAAACTTCTTCACCCACCCACCTGAATTACTGTTTTCCCACCCTAAATAAAATCAACAAATGCAGTTCTCCACAGAAGCATACGGTATGGTCTTCCTTCATTTAATTAAACCACTCAGGCTTTTCAATGAAAGTGCCTCGGAAAAACGTTAAGTGCTCAGGAGGTAAGGGAAACGTGTATGCCTGATACAGTACAGCATGAAACACTAGGAAACACAGAAGGCTTATTATGACAACTGGACCCATTCTCTCCTAAGCTCCGCTTCCGGCTTTCAATTCCACAAACAAGCCAACTCCCTGAGTCTCATCTCTTGCTTGAGATTCCTTGACTCAAACGTCTTCCCCTGTCCGGGTCCCGCGACTCTACCAACACTACCCCCTTTGCACCCCATCCTGGGAAACATCCCCGGCCCACTTCTTCTCATTCCTCTTCTAGTCCTTTTCCACTTCCATCTCAGAACCGCAGATGTTCTCTCTGTCACCGGGACTGGACTGGGCCATTTCCACACCCGAAGGGGTGCTGCTCCCCAAGCTCAGGGCCGGATGACAAAGCGCCTTGTCGCTGGACCGAGGCCTGCCCATCTCCGAAGCTCTGTTGCCGGGCTCGACCAAAGGCTTCCACTTTGTCAGAGGCAGAAGCGAGTCCAAGCAGGAGATTATGTGGAAAGAAAGGTGCACTCACACTCCTTAAGACGGCCGTCGATCTCCTTGTGCTCCAGTAGCTTCTTGCGGTAGTCCTGAAGCGCCTTATCTCTAGGGTCCGCCATGATGAGAAGCCGTCGCTCATAGGGGATGCCGGGAAAGGCCATGGCCGTCCAGGCGGGGGAAGGGGCGGGGCGAGGGCGGAGAGCCTGCCCGGAGGCGTGGGTTCATGGGCAACCCCGCCCCTTCCGGTTGGCCCCGCCTTTGTACTCCACTTCTCCATCTCTGTATCTCGGTTCACCTAGGCTACCGGCATGCACGGAAGGAGTCCTCCGGCCACACCGTCCCCTGCAGGCCGAGCTGGGTATAGCGGGGCGCGGTTATTCTGGTTTTCCCCTAAGGCCCTCAGTATTAAGTCACCGCTGTCTGGAAACCACAAAAGGCTCTGAAATAAACTGAGATGGAAGTGAAGTAGGGAATGTGTAATACCTCAGAATAGCTCCGATGGCCTACCAGCATAACTCAGAGTACTGTCCAAGATCTCTGGGCACAGAAGTAGGCAATTTCATTCATTCGGTCAGTCGGTGAATGAGGTACTAAGGATAGATCTGCTTATGATTTTGTGGGAGATAAAAAATAATTTCAGAGTGTGATAAATACTATGATGGAAATAAAACACGAACACGATGAATAGTGGGAAGAATTAATTCAGAATAGATATCTGAAATGAGAAGAAGCCAGCCATGCAACAAACTTAAGAACCTACTGAACAAAGGAAATAGCAAGTGCAAGGACCTGGCTGTTGGGGGGAAGCTTGGCTCGCGTCTAGGAACAGAAAGGAGGCCAAGGAGACCAGAAGGAAGTGGGTTGCAGAGATGTGGGGCACGAGATAAACAAAGATGCTGAAGTAGGCTGAGGCAGGGACTTCGAAGTCTGATAGAACTGTCTTTCAGATTTCTGTGATTTGGGAAAAATTGCTTAATCTCTCAATATCTCTGTAAAACGAGCATAATAATTGTACTTAACTAATAGAATTGTCGTGCGTATTGAATAAGATAATGTGCCTAAAGCTATTAACACAACATCTGGCACATAGTAAGCACTCAATAGTGTTCTTTTAAGTCATTT